CTGAAGCTCACCACAATAGCAACAGGAGGTGGCTACAAAAATATTACAGTAATACAGTATTACTACATTTAATTTTAAGCAGTTATGATTTAATACTGTATCTTTACACTTGTTTACATTTCCCTAAACTGTGAAATGGTGCCATGTGTGTGGTCTGTAAATGTTAAGTTTTTATAATATATTTGTATATGTTTTATGATAATAAATGTTAAAATAGACTGGTATTTACATATATTTTATGCATTCATGACATATCCACTTTTTCTTTAATTTTTCACTATTGCTAGGGTACACAGTTTATCCGCTAGTTTTTTCAAATTGCCAAAATTCTCCAAAAATTTCTCAATATATTTATTGAAAAAAATCCATGTATAAGTGGATCATGTGTTTCAAACCCATGTTGTTCAATTGTATTTTTCAGGCTTGAGTGATTCAAAGTACTAAATAGCTCATACCATCTAGGAGAATTATACCATTAGATATGAGTGAAGTTTCAAGTTTCATTTGTATTGAAAGTAAATAGTATGTACTGCTTGGCTTATAGGCAGGTAAGAGCTTCTTAAACCAATGAGAAAATACCTGCCTATTTAGCTAAGCAAGAAAGCAAAGATTGGTTAAGAAGGACTATTTCACAAAACCAAGACTTTTCATAGATGCTTTTTCTTTACTAATTTAACTTTTGTTGTGATTCTGTTTATAGTAGTTTGGTTTATTGAGGAGTATTTGCACTTGTTAGGAATTACTGTCCTTTGTTGCCAGATGTCCAGTCTGTAAAACCATAACTATAATATTTTGTCTATTCTTGTCATTGTTTCTGATAAGAAGGTAAATTCAATCCATATTCTTCCATCTTGGCCAGAAGGGGAAATCCTGACCTTTGTCTTCCGTATTTGTTCATAGAGGTCTTGACATTTTTGTCACCATCATCAGACCATCTGAATCCTTGACAACTTTATCTTATTCAGTGCAATGACCCCTTTTTACTTCACTCACATGACTATCCTTTTTCTACTCAGAGTTAATTTATTGTTTTCTTAGTATCCTAGACTTTTGTACTTTGTAGCTTTTGACTTCTGTGCCAGTTTTTGTCCATATTAGATACTTGTTTTTAATCCCTTCAAATGCCACTTGGCCTTATGTCTTACTCCAGTCATTGTTCTATTTCCTGAAAGCTTTGAGTGTTTTGCATAAATACAGTTGTATTATGCTTTGCTTCAGACTGGAACCTCATACCACACTTTTAAATTTCTTTTCTGCTGTGGGGCACCGCTGAAGTCATGGCACAAGATGCAAAAATCTGCTCCAAATTTATGAATGCATTAACTCCTGTACAATCCAAAAGTTGTACAGGAGTTAATGACTCTGGAGTCTACCCTTGAACAATGAATAAGGTCAATGGTGAAGAAATGTTTTCCTCTTTAATCCCTCAGATTGACTCAGACTCAGGATGTCTCTGGAGGATTGAGCCCCAGCTACCCTCCATTACAGCCTTGTATTGGCTTTCCCTCCTTCCCTGTGATGTAATGCCACTGTCACAATCCTTTATTCTCTATCCCCGACTGCTCTATCCTCCTCATTTATTTCTATGCTACTGATAATTGTAGAAAATAAGAAAAAAACCATTTTGGATAGATCTCCTAGTAAATCATACCATCTTACACTAAATGGATTCTTTTTCTGCCAAGTGATCCCAAATAGTCATCTTGTGTAATATTGCTGCTTTAATCTTTCATGTCTTCATCCTCAAAACTGGCCTTCCTCATTCTCAACCTGAGTTGTTGAGAAGTATAAGACTTTACAAGATTGGCTCCCACATTGTCTTTTGTCTATATTTCAAAACAGTTTTCAACTGATTTCTCTCCTTTATAAAAAAATTATTTAAAAAAATCTTTTTAAAAAAATTAATTTTATTTAAATTCAATTAATTAACATATACTGTGTTATTAGTTGCAGAGGTAGAATTTAGTGATTCATCACTTGTATGTGACACCCAGTGCTCTTTACATCACTTGCCCTCCTTAATGTCCATCACCCAGTTACCCCATCCCCCCCACACTTCCCCTCCAGCAGCCCTGTTTGTTTTCTGTAGTTAAGAGTCTCTTATGTTTTGTCTCCCTCTCTGATTTCATCTTTATTTTTCCCTCCCCTCCCCTATGATCCTCTGTTTTGTTTCTTAAATTCCACATATGAGTGAAATCATATGATAATTATCTTTCTGTGATTTATTTTGCTTAGCATAATACCCTCTAGTTCATCCATGTAAAAAAAAAAAAAATCTTTAATCCACCTCTACTTTCCAATGTGAGCAGAAACATCAGTTATTCTTAGAGTTAATTTTTCCAGTTGTGCTTTTGATTATTTTTAATCCTGACTTCTCCCATTCTTTTCTTACCAGTCTTCACATATCTTTCCTTAATTTCTAGTGGCTCCTTTTGCAGACTGCAGCTATGCTCAGATCCTACCTATAATAGAAGAAAACAAAACACAAAATCAAAATCCTTTTTTTTACTTCATCATTATTCCTATTAACCATGAGATTTTCTTGCTTTTCTCATTCAATGGAACATTTATTGAAATAATACTCTATTTATCTCATATTTATTCTTTAAGCCTTGACAAACTAGTTGCAGTCTCTATCACTTCTTGGAAACCACTGTCTTAAAGGTCAGTGAAAGATTGGGGCGCCTAAGTGGCTCAGTTGTGAAGTGTCTGCCTTTGTCTCAGGTCATGATCCCAGTGTCCTGGGATCGAGCCCCACTTCGGGCTCCCTGCTTGGTGGGGAGCCTGCTTCTTCTCCCACTCTCCCTGTTTGAGTTCCCTCTCTCGCTATCTCTCTCTCTGTCAAATAAATAAATAAAATCTTTAAAAAAAAAAAAAGGTCAGTGAAAGATAAAATAATCATTATACCTCATAGCCTTTCCTCAGTCATCATCTTTGATCACATTTCAGCATGTTCCAATAAATCAGTTTTCTATTGTGACATTGTAAAAATTTCTGTCTAGCTTCTTACTCTTTGCATTCCCTAATCATTGCCTTATCCACTCCCAGAGCTCTCTGTAAGTTCTTTCTCTGACTGATCTTTCTCCCACACCCCAGTCTTGTATTATTGCTCATTTCTTATTGTATATTACTGCTGGACAATGAGTTGGACCTCAAAGTTAGTTTCTCTAAAATGGAGCTTATTATTCCCACTTACTTCCTCTTTACCTCAGCTCTTTCTTCTAACTTTCTTGTTTTTGAACAGTAATACTTTTTTTTAAGGCACCAGTGGATTTTAACTCCCTCTTTGCATCTTCAGTATTTGGAGAAGAGAAAACCAAGCACTCTAATTTATAAATATTAACTCAGTTAATACCCACAACAGTTCACATTTCATACATAAGTAAACTAGGACCCAAAATAGTCAAATGAGTTGCCTAATATCTCAGAGCTATCTAGGAATGGGAACCATATCTGCTGGATACTAAAATTCATACACTTTTCACTGTGTAACAGAATAGTGACTCTTAAACAGCATAATATCCTGAATCATCAAAGAAATATTCAATTACGTTTTTGCTATTTATTAAGGAAGGAGAGAAGACAAATACATTTTAGAAAGAATATGAACCTTTTCAACAAGACTTGAAAGTAATAAATACTTTCTGTTAAACTTTGTATTATTAAAATGCTGTTAACCAGAGCAACGTCTTTCCCAGATTCCTCATTCAGTCAAGGTTGTGTTACATATTGAACAGGGTGATTGTGTTATATACTAAACTGGGTGGTTGTATTATATACTAAATTGGGTATATATTCACTAATGTCTTTCATATTGAGTTCAGAGTTGGAAATAGTTTTTTTTTTAATTTTTTAATTAACATATAAGGTATTTGGAGAAGAGGTTATTATTATTTGTTTCAGGGGTACAGGTCTGTGATTCATCAGTCTTACACAATTCACAGCGCTCACCATAGTACATACCCTCCCCAGTGTCCATCACCCAACCACCCCATCCCTCCCAGGAAATTTTTTTTTTTTTTAGTATATGTTATTAATTGGATATTTTCCAGTGTTAAACTCAACAATTAAAGAAAATCTTCACCCACTGAGCTTCTGAGCTAAGTTAAGTTTGACAACTGAGACAGAAAAATCTAAAAGTAAAGGGAGGATCAATAGCAGCAGTTAGTTAATAGTGAGGAAATGTCCTATGAATAGGCAAAATGGGAAATTACATGATGGCCTATAAGTATGGATTATACTCTGGGCAAAGGATGCACCATCATTAGGCAATTGCACACTGAACAACTGCCAGTTAAGTACCATTTTAACCAATTTAGACGTAATGAACTTAGTAGATGAGATCCCTGCTGAGTTAAGGAGCAATCAAAGCCTCATTTTGGATTCTGTGCCATCTAGGTCAAGACGTTCCAAAAGTGTTGTGTATTACTTGGTACAGAAAAGAGATAACTTTCTTATCCTTCCTTCTAGTTAAATCTTTTTTTTAAAGATTTTATTTATTTGAGAGAGAGTGAGAGCAAGAGCAGGGAGAAGAGGGAGAAGCAGGCTCCCTGCTGACCAGGGAACCTGACGCGGAACTTGATCCCAGAACCCTGGGATCATGACCTGAGCCAAAGGCAGACGCCCAGCCGAACGAGCCACCCACCTGCCCTAATTCTTTAACAGATATTTATGGAATATAATTCGTGCCATAGAGAGTATCATTTGGTGATTGGTAGGTAATGATATGACAGAATTGGAAAACTGTTCTTTGCCTTTAAGGAGTTTTATTTCCATTTTTGCTAATTTTTTTCAATTACTCTGAATGACTTTTTTTTTTTTAATCAAAAGGATAAAAAGAATTTTGTTTAGGTCTAAAATCAAAGTAACTCTCCCTTAGCAAGCAGGTTGATAAAAGGTCTTTAGTAAAAAGGATAAGGAATGAAGAGGTGAGGATGTGTTTTGTGTACTCAATCTCACCTATCTCAGAGGTGCAATGACACTGTGGTTTTATTTGGAACTTTCAGGAAGTGCAAAAGATGTGTCAGAAGAAGCCCATGTCTGCCTACCCTGCAGGGAGGGCTGCCCTTACTGTGCTGATGACAGCCCCTGCTTTGTCCAGGAGGATAAGTATTTGCGACTTGCTATCATCTCCTTCCAAGCCCTGTGTATGCTGCTCGACTTCGTTAGCATGCTGGTGGTCTACCACTTTCGCAAAGCAAAGGTAAACCCAGGTACCCTGGTTATGAACTTCCTTTTTATTATGAAGTGACCTCTTCTTTTTTCAAGCAAATAGAGTTTTTCCAAGTCCTACTTGCCTCTCTATTTAACAGAAGTCTTCCTATAATATAATCAGACTAGAATATGAACATTATATTCTTTAGCTTCCCAGGAGAAATACGGATTAAAAATACGGAATCTTGTTATAACATTTTCTTTTACAGAATGTTTCCCCCTATTTAGCATGAAGCTTGAGTACTTTATTGCCTTAAAGGACTCTCTTTTATATCTCTTTGGTTTCTAGAAGAACTTATTCTGCCAGTACCCAAAGTATTGTTAATTTTTTCATATTTAGAAAGCTTTTTGATATTTATTATATTTCATTTTTATTTCTCTTAGCCATATTTGAAGTTAGCAAATGGACTTGACTATTTTGAGCAAATGTGCTCAAAGTGTAATGATACTTTGAAGAATGAATTTATTCATGAACTTATATTTAGTCTTGCATTAGTGTCCCAGGATAATAGTGATCCTACAAAGAGCTTATATGGCTTTTGAGAGAGCCTGTCCTTCGGTCCTGTTCTGAGAAATCAAAGAGTAGTATAAACATTTGTATGCTTCTCAGTCAGGGGTAGATGAAATGGTAAAATGTTAAGGGCAAAGCTTTCTGGGGAGTTGTCCTCAGTTGGTCACCCAATTAATTATATGTAGCCAGTGTTGTCAGAATTTGTGGTTCTGTTGCTTTCAGAAACTTATTGGTGCCATTGGGAAAAAAACACAAAGCTAAATTTTCCACCTTTTCTGAATTCAAATGAGCCCTTCATGTTAGCAAAGTTGTACAGATTGGTTTAGATAACAGAGCTCATTGGAAGCATAAAGTGTTCCCATTAGAAATTTAAAAAATAGAACAACTCTGTGAATGGCATCTATTACAAGGCCTCAAGTTAACATTAAAAAAATCCCCTCTATTGAGATTCTAGGAGAAAGTATCCATTATGTTAATGTCATAGACTTAAATAGTTAATTTTAAATAGACAGTTTCATTAACAGAAGCATACAACACAAATTAAAATCAAGCTTTAAGTCAGCAAGAAAGTGCAGACAGGCAAATTGCTCTTCATTTAACCAATACTTGTCTTTCTTTTGAAACAAAATGTGTGTTAAATTGTATATATAATAAAATAGGAGGCAAGTGGAGTTGAGAAATATCTAACCACAGTTACCTAGATAAAATCTAATGTTTTTTTTTAAAAAAAACCTGTCACTGGTAGAGCAGGTAGAGTTGAAAGGTCTATTTAATAAACTGCTCTGAACTCTCTCTATATGATGTCATTCATTCATACAGGGGATAACAGATAGTTCTTTATGAATTTTACTTGATTAGAATCATTAATGATTGCTGTGCTAAATGTAGTTAATGATATATGATGGGTAGAATATTACATTGGATATTAAGAAAACTGATACAGTTCTTGCTAGACCAAAGTCTTTATCTATGTTGATGTTATTTAACATTTCCAGAATTATTAACTTTTCAAATTTCTCTGGCCCTTCATATGAAATGCTACTTTATAGGGCTATCATGAGAATTGGCATCTTTCCATATCATTTGGTGAAATTTTTATAGATACAAACTGGTTGGAATAGACAAATTAGACATTATCTAGTTTTAAGATGGTCACCTTTTGAAGAATCAGTTTTCACAGAATGTGACATAACATAGGGGGGATTATTTTCAGGAAATAATATAGGTTAATAAAGTCAGTGAACATGGATCTAGTATATTGAAGAAAGAAAACTTGGTGAACTTTTCTCTTCTGATTTCAGTTACCAAAAAGAATGATTAACTGTAAAAGCAGTAAACCATTTCCAATGTAGAAATTGTATGTTTATCACATGTGGGCATTGGCTTTGCTTTTTAAAGTTTTTATGTGTCTTTGCAGCATTTCTTTGCATAAAGCAGAAAACTGATGATCCCTTTTGAAGTAATACTGATGTCTTTCTTATAAGTTTTCCATTGTATTGCCTACCCACCAATAATTAAAAGAACAAAAACCTTAATCTATCAGTTTACATATATTTTGACAAAAGAGAAAAACCTTAGTTGCAATATAGAAGTAGCATAATATTGTGGGTAAGTGTGCAGACTTCAGAGTCAGATTGTTTAGACTCGAATCCTGTCTTAGCCCCTTGAATGCTATTACACTTTGGAAAAATTTCTTAGCTTCACTTTGCCTAGGTTTTTCCTCTATAAAATGGGGTTTAACACACCATATACAAAAATTAATTTAAAATGGGTTATACACCTAAATATAAGGCCCAAAACTAAGAAACATTTTTAAGCAGAAAACATAGGCATAAATCGTCATGATCTTGGGTTAGGCAATGTTTCTTAGATACAGCATGAAAAGGATAAATGACAAAAGAAAAAAATAAATAAATTGGACTTCATCAAAATTGAAAACTTTTGGGGGTGCCTCAGTCGTTAAGCCTCTGCCTTCAGCTCAGGTCATGATCCCGGGGTCCTGGGATCGAGCCCCACATCAGGCTTCCTGTTCAGCCAGGAGCCTGCTTCTCCCTCTCCCACTCCCCCTGCTTGTGTTCCCTCTCTAGCTGTCTCTCTCTCTGTGTGTCAAATAAATAAATAAAATCTTCAAAAGAAAAATTGAAAACTTTTTTCATCAAAGGACACCATCAAAAAGGTAAAAAAAGACAACCCATAGAATAGCAGGAGATATTTGTAAATTATACTAGAACCCAGAGCATATAAAGAATAAAAAGATAACCCAATTGAAAAATGGGCAAGGGATCTGAATAGACATTTCTACAAAGAAGATATATAAATGGCCAATGTGCATATGAAAAAATGCTCAATAACATTAGTTATTAGGAAAATTCAAATCAAGCCCCCAGCACACACTAGCAGAGCTAAAAATGAGAAGACAATAACAAGTGTTGTTGAGGATGTGGAGAAATTGAAACTCTCATTCATTGCTGTTGGGAATGTAAAGTGGTACGGCCACTTTGGAAAATAATTTAGTAGTCCCTCAAAAAATTAAACATAGACTTATGATATTACCCAGTAACTCCACTTCTAGGTACATACCCAGGAAAATGGAAAACATATGTCTTCAATGGCTAAAATAAAAAACACAGGAAATAACAAATGGTGGCAAGGATGTGGAGGAAAAAAACCCTCATGCACTCTTGGTGGGAATGCAAACTGGTGCAGCCGCTGTAGAAAACAGAATGGAGGTTCCTCAAAAAGTTAAAAATAGAATTATCGATGACCTAGTAATTTCACTACTGGGTATTTAACCCCCCAAAACGAAAATGTTAATTTGAGAAATATATGCATCCCATGTTTATTGCAAAGTATTTACAACAGCCAAGATATGGAAACAATCCAAGTGTCCATCCATAGATGAATGGATAAAGATGTGGCGTGTGTGTGTGTGTGTGTGTGTGTGTATGTAACAGAATATTACCCATAAAAAAGGGTGAGATCTTGCCATTTGCAACAATGAGGATGGATCTAGAAGGTATAATGCTAAGTAAAATAAGTCAGAGAAAGACAAGTATATTTCACTCCTATGTTGAATTTAAGAAACAAAACAAATGAAAAAAGAAAGAGAAAAAGAGACAAAAAACTGACTCTTAAATACAGAAAACAGGCTCGTGATTGCCAGAGGGGAGGTGCATAGGTAAAATAGATAAAGTGGATTACAAGTATACTTACCTTCATGTGCGCTGAGAAATGTATAGAATTGTTGAATCATTTTATTGTACACCTGAAACTAATAAAAAGAAAACATTTGCCTACACAAAAATGTTCACAAAGATGTTCATAGCAGCATATTTATAACAAGAAATGGAAACAACCCAACTGTTCATCAGTTGATGAATGGATAAGTAAAATGTGGTATATCCATTAAATGGAATATCTTTTTGTCAATAAAAGGAACAAGTAGCAATACATGCTACAACGTGGATGAATCTTGAAAACATGCTAAATGAAATAAAATGGTCATGAAAGATCATTTGTATGAAGTTTACATTTATATGAAATGTCCAGAACAGGCAAATCAGTAGAGCCAAGTAGATCAGTGGTTGTCAAGAGATACAAGGAGGGAAGAATGGGGTGTGACTGCTAATAGGTTCAGGGTTTCTTTTGGGGAGGATGAAAATTTTCTAAAATTATGGTAATATGTTTCACAAGTCTGTCAGTATACTAAAAACCACTGGCTTGTACACTTTACAAGGATTTAAGGTATATTAATTATATTTCAATAAAGCTATTACAAAATTTTTAAAGGAGTTTATTACTTACCTCACAGGATCCTTTTGAAGATTTAATGAGATTATTCATATAAAGTACCTTACTAGACATTTGTCTTTTGTTATTAAATTATTTTAGACCACTTTGTGAAATTAATAATCTGTTTGCTTCCCATGTTAGGGGTTAAGTATGACATTTATTTTTTTTAATATTTTTTTATTTTTTCATGAGAGAGAGAGAGATAGAGAGAGCACACAGTGGGGGAGACGCAGAAGGAGAGGGAGAAGCAGACCCCCTCCCGCCCCACTGAGCCAGCCGGGGAGCCCGATGTGGGGCTCCATCCCAGGACCCGGAGATCATGACCTGAGCCGAAGGCAGATTCTCTACCATCAGAGCCACCCAGGCGTCCCAAGTATGATATTTAAAATGCTTAAAAGATAAGGTTTATAAAAAATATAGCCAGTGGGATTCTAGGCAATAAATTCATTTAAGTTGTCTTACAATTGCAAACAGTCATCCTATACTAATCCTAATAGATTGTCCAGATAGCTGAAATGAACAAAACACCTGTGGTACAGATTCTTTTATTTTGGCTATATCTTCATCATGAAAGAATGAAAGGAATGTTAAACTGTAAGCAGGATAGTTTCACTTAATTGATTTCAATTAAGTGAAAAAAAGATCTTTTCTTTTTCTTCTTTTAATTCAGTTACTTATTGAGGATC